CTTCTATTGTCGTAAAATTTCAAGGGCTCGTGGTTCATCTTTGAGCCTTTTAAGGAACCAGTTTTGGTTGTAAGTTGAGAGAATCCCATACTGCAAATGATTTATAACCATAAACCCAAAAATCTGGCGTAACATGTCTACAACCGAAATTTCGTCACCAGAGTTAGATGAAGCATTAAATAAAGATCAAATGTTATCTGGAGTATTGTTTCGCTTATTCCCTCTCAAGATCATCTTAATACTTTTCATGAAGTGACTTATCAACCTCCAACTTTAAAACCCACGCGGTCATCACATATTCCGGATACTGCTGATCAAGAAGAATATCTGGATACTGATGGGAAAGAAGAATATCTGAACTCAGACTCAGAAGGGTATCACTAAGGTGAAGGGTATATCTAACAGCGCTTGCTGTGTTGGGTTGTGGGCTTGTTGGGGTTGTGAATTTGTTAGTCTTCAGCACCTGAGGAACCTACGTCCTGTATGCCGGGACTTGTCATAGCCGCATTGGCTTTACATGATCCATGGGATCAATGATGATCCGGGGTAACATCTTATTCTATCCAAGGCCAAGAGTTTGTACTTCGTAAATGTATATCCCGGACGTTGATGTTTCGACAAGATAGAAAATAATAATCTCCTCCAGCAGTATTCGGTAAGATTCTGTATCTATTCCATTATCACCAGCTTTTGATAGGTTATATCTTTGAGGTGATAACCTAGTTTTTTTTAAAAATAAATAAATAAATAAATTAATTTGGTTAGATATAAAATCTAAAAATGAAAGTTGTTGTTTTGAATGTTACGAATATATCATAAGTACTTTCACTTCAAAAAGTGATAAATGGACACAGAGAATTAAACAAGCAAGTCAAAAGAATTGTGCCACCAAAAACAAGTACTCTTCTAGACATTATATACCGTTTGGTATTATACATCAAGTATAAAATTAAATGAAAACTTACTTTAAAGCAAAATCTTTTTTATAGCCATTCACCATCGTTATAGCTACGATATATATTTATTCACTTAAACAGTGAGAACTTTCAGCATGACGTTAAAAGAAATGTAAGAAGTTCAAAAAGAGTAAGAAATGAGGACTTGAAGACGTGAAATTTATATGTAGAGTAAAAAAAAATATTTAGAAAGACGAAAAA